AAGCTAGCCATTACTGTCAGCTGTTACTATTCTAATATTTTTCTCATCTACTTAAAAAGTGGGTCATTTTGTGTGTGGGGGGCGGGAAGAATATACATATGAGCATGCTTATATAAAAATGAATTGGTTTTTGAATTTTGTAATAAATAATCTTTGCACTAGGATTATTTATTTTACCTCCCACCCCACCCCTCAGCTAATACAGTATTTGTCTCATCTCTGGCAATCTTTGAGCCAGACACTTTCTCAGACTTCTTGGGAAGGTACAGAAAAAAGGGCAGGTGAGACATGGGAGAAAGAACATGGGAGGAGGATGACGAGGGCTAACATTAGACCAAGGAACCTATGGTCTCTGAGAAGGCAAAGTTCAGACGTGAGTAGAAGCTGCCGTTTGAGGTTCCCTTAAATAGTCCCAAAACCAGTCCTAGAGCCAGTCGTCTTAACTGTGGCAGCTCTGTCTCAGTGAACTTGGCTGTGTTGATGTCCCTTGAAATGGCAGACTTGCTGGTTTGGAAGCTGTGGCATAAGGGATGAGTGAGGTCAGAGGACATGGGACTGTCTGACACTAATTTGTGTCTCTAATCAGTTCAGTAGCACTGCGGACACCCAGGAGCCTGAAGAGGTGAACTCAGAGCAGGCATTATATTTTAGGGGTGAGGGACCAAGGCAGGAGAGCTGTTGCCAGGGCAGAGAAGCCAAGGCTACTTTTTGAGACAGTCTCACTTTGTAACTCTGGCTGGCTTGGAACTTGTTATATAAGACCAGGCTGGTCACCTTACTCTGCTGTCATAGTTCTGTGATAGAACTACACCCAACACCTGACCCTTATTTTTAAATGTGCTTGTCTGTCTTTGCATGTTATATACGTTGAGTGCTTTGGTAGGCTACAGGTATTGGATACTCTTGGAACTGGAGTTACAATCAGTCGTGAGTGACTTGATGTAGGTATTGTGGACCAAACTCATGTTCTCTGGAAAGAGCAGCATATGCTCTTAACCACCGTTCCATCTCCTCAACTCCTCTGTACTAGGATTTAAAAACCTGCTTACTAGACAGTTACAATATTTGGCAAGCTGTTACATGCATATGATAAACAAAAGTGATCCAACGTCAAAAAGTTTGGCAAATGGCTGAGTTTACTTGTTTTATTATAATAAATGACAAGATCAGTGTTTTGTTTTTTAATACATGGTATTCTGTAATGTAACTTAAGGTCTACAGAACTGTACCAAAGGATTTGTATTTCTTCCCCCCCTCCCCTTCTTTATTTCCTTAAAACTGAGACAAGGCCTCACTGTATTGCCCTGGCTGGCCTAATTTTCTATGTAGACTAGGCTGGCCTTGATCTCTGACATCTGCCTGCCTCTATCTCCCAAGTGCACCACCCTACCTGGCTAGTTTTATACAACATTATGAGGTCCTCCCTGAAGATTGGCTGCTTGTTTTTGCCTGGACCATGAGGACCCATGGCAGTAGGAGAGGATTGGTCAGCTAGGACGATGTAGTACATTAGCTTGTTGGTCTATTAGACAGTTGCTGTCTATCAGGGAATTAATAGTTATTAAAAACAGCTGGACAGTGTGGTGAAACTTTGGATATGGCTGTTTTAGGTTTGCTAGCATCTTCTCCTGGGCATGCACTATTGTATGCTTTGTCCTACTTTGGTCCCTTGCCGTGTCTGGATTCTTTGAGGGGTAGTACATAATCAACTTTTATCTTGGAATGCCTGCCCTTCTTAAAGTTTTAGGACATAGTGACTAAACAATTATTTTAAATCACACTTATGAAGTTGTAATGCCTCAGATTGTTCTGTGTTCCTCTGACTGAACTCATGTCTTTTTTGTTCTGTACATGGTATGTGAGGTGAGGGGCACTGTCTTATAGCCCTTGGTCTCTCTGGCAGTTGCTGGTCTTTCATCAAGAGCTATCTGATTAGCCAGTACTCTCCTGAGTGTGACTCTGACCGGAGCTCTTTCCCTTTTGTTGGAGGACCCAGCCTCAAAGATGCCTCCTTCATTACTGTTTGGAGAATTTCAAACCCCTTCAAGGTTGAATTGTTCATTTGGTTTCCATGAGTTAGAGTTGGATAGCACCTGGATACATCATTGAGTTGTCCCCCCACCCCCACCCCAAGACAGGATTTCTCTGTGGCTTTGGAGGCTGTCCTGAACTAGCTCTTGTAGACCAGGCTAGTCTCGAACTCACAGAGATCCACCTGCCTTTGCTGAGTGCTGGGTTTAAAGACGTGTGCCACCACCGCCCAGCTTGATTTTTTTATTCTCTATACTAGCTGTATATGTAAACACAGCTAGTTAGTTCTACCTCTTGGACTAAAAATGTATCTGCTTGATAACTGCCAGTTATTAGTCTTTTCCATAGATTTTTAAAAGTGGTTGACTTGTTTGTGCTAGAGAGAGGAAAGATTTTTGCTGGGACACATATAAGACATTACTGTAGGCCTCCAATAGGCTCTTGTAATTCTTTTTTTTAGAGAAGCAAGGCCTAGTTTTTCTCTAGTTCCTGACTGAGTACTTCTTTGCTAACTTGTGGTCTAGACCGTGTTGTGGATTCCTTGGAGAACTGGGCTGGCTGAGAGTCACTTGGTCCTGATTTACTTTCTCCCTAAAATACTTCATCCCATGTGGCATTGTTATATGGTCAGTTACACTACCCCACTGTTCTTTTGGGTCTGTTTTACTCGACCTTTAAAAAACAAAACTTCCCCTGGTAATTCCTGTTGATGCTTTTGTGAGATGGGTTTTACTAGGTTATCAAAATATTAGGCAACTCTGTTGCTTGCTCTGTTTTTGCTGGCTTCATTTATCTTGTTTATTTCTGATAAACCTCAGAAACTTTGGCACAGAATTTTTTTTAAATGTTCATCTACTTTCCTGTGTGAGTTACTCAGTTTTTGTTTTATAAATTTAACTCTGAAGTAAAGACCTTGTTTTCTGGGTGGCTCATAGCATGAGAACAGTTGTGGCAGTAACATTTAGCTCTCTGCGTTCCACCATCAAAGGTAAATTGCTAAATCTGTCCATCTGACATTTTCAGACTGGTGTGCTCACCACACCCACCCCACTTCATGAAGTTGATTCTGCCTATACTGTGGTGTTTCACCTAGGAACCTCATTTGTGTGTGAGAACCACACAGCTGTAACATAATTTCATGTGAAATCAATTCCCAGGCTTCCCAAGGCTTTAATTGCTCCAGATCTTACTTGGTATCTATCCATTACTGCTGCAATTATAGCTCTGACTGTCCTGGATCTCACTGTGTAGATGGATGCTGGTCTATATAGATGACAGAGATGCACCTGCCTCCCAAGTGCTGGGATTAAAAGTCATGTGCTATCATGCCTGACAAAACTATTTTTGCTTTCCTCCTTTAATTCCCTTTATATAATGCTCTCTTTCTAAAACTCTCATTGAAAGTGGTAGTTTGAGCCAGCTGGTGGTGGCACATGCCTTTAATCTTAGCACCGTGGCAGGTGAAATTCCAGGACTGCCAGGACACACAGAAACCCTGTCTCAAAAAAAACAAAACAAAACAAAACAAAACAAAAAACCAAAAAAAAAAAAAACAAAAAAAAACCCCCAAGAACCAGACAAGAAGAAGTGGTAGATGGGGGTTGTACTTTAAGTCCCCACATTATTAGTAAAGAACTCTGATGGTCACTGCTCTTAAAAATGACAAAGTACCAGGCAGACTTCCCTTATGTAGCCCAGACTGGCTTGACTTCTAGAGGTATGAGCCACCATTCTGGGATTTACTTTTCATTTTTTATTTATTTAAAAATTATAATTTATTTTGTGTGTGGATATTTGCTTCCATGTATGCTTGCACTATGTGCATGCTTGGTGCCCAAGGAGTCCAGAAGAGAGTATTAGGTCCCTGGGAAGTGGAGTTAAAGTTGTGAGCTACTATGTGGGTTCTGTGTAAGGGCAATAAGTACTCAGTCTCTGAGCCATTTCTCTAGCTTGACCTTGAACTCTTGAACCATTAGATGCCCATATCCCCAGTGTTAGGCATGTGCTACTCTGCCCGGCTTGACTCTAAAGTTATTTGCTGTTTATCCATGTGTAAGAATATGTGATAAAAGGACCGCCCTTTCCCAGATCCTAGATTAACAATATACTAAGTACATTTTTAGTGTTTCGTTATAAAAAAAAAATGTGTTGTGGAATATTATTTTAACTAAGCAAAGATGTGTTACATTTGTTTTTGCTGAGGAATATTACTTTTAACTGTGTAAAGGTGTGCTGTACTTGTTTATGCTACATTTGTTAAATGATGTAAATATGTGTAAATTTGTTTTTGCTGCATTTGTTGCACCTTGCCTGCCTAAGGCACCTGATTGGTCTAATAAAGAGCTGAACTGCCAATAGCTAGGCAGGAGAGGGATGGGTGGGGCTGGCAGACAGGAAATAGGAGAAATGTAGGCTTGAACTGGGGAAGAAGGAAGAGGAAAGAGAATGAAGGAGAAAGAGACACTTCTGGGGCCCAAAACCAGGTAGCAGTTAGCCAGCAAAAGAGGAATAAGACATACAGAAAGAAAAGGTAAGAAAGCCCCAAGGCAAAACATAGATGAAGAGAAACAGGTTAAGTTATAAGAGTTACTTAGCGGGGCTGGAGAGATGGCTCAGAGGTTAAGAGCACCAGCTGCTCTTCCAGAGGTCCTGAGTTCAATTCCCAGCAACCACATGGTGGCTTACAACCATCCGTTATGAGATCTGGTTCCTTATTCTGGTGTGCAGATATACATGGAAGCAGAATGTTGTATACATAATAAATAAAATCTTTAAAAAAAGAATATATTTCTTAAAAAAAAAGTTACTTAGCAAGGAAAGAAATAAGCTAAGGCAGAGCATTCAAAACTAGTAAGTCCCCATACCATGACTTGGGAGCTGGTTGGTGACCTAAAAGAAAAAGCCTGTGGTGAAAAGTACTCACAGTTGCTATTTCTACTCTAGAGTCAAGGTGAATTGACTGTTTTGTTTTCCTTGTTCTTTTAAAATAGGGTTATACATCATTTTGGAATGACTGTATATCCTCTGGATTACGTGGCTGTATGTTAATTGAATTAGCATTGAGAGGAAGGTTACAACTAGAGGCTTGTGGAATGAGAAGAAAAAGTCTTTTAACAAGAAAGGTAAGAGCACTTCTAAATAATTCCCCCATTTGCAAGAATTTGTTCTGTATAAGTGATGAATATTTTAATAGCTTAAAATGTTTAAATAGTTTAAGATTATCTTTATTGGATTGCATTCTTGGTTTTTCTGGTTCTTTGCATATGTAACAAATGATGTCAGTCACTGACTGCTGCATCCTAGCAAGATGCTGAATTTTGTTTGCGTCTGAAGACCTTGAGATAACTTTAGACAGTTCAGGAGTTTTGTGGAAAGTAATTACTCATAGGGCATTCATTTTTTGGGGAGAATGTGATTGCTTTTCATCTCTCTTGTCCACAGTGAAGTTGTAGGTAGGTACTGCTGTGGTAGGACAGAAATATATATGCTAGTTTTGGATTTTTAACTTTAGCCTCAATCTCAGATATTCAAGACTGTTTCTTATGCTTTGGACATGGTGTTTCAAATCCAATTCTTAAATTTATTTACTTATTTATTTATTTATGTAATTGTATTATATGCATAAATCCAAGAATTAGGCCAGAACCAAACATCTTGTTGCCGTTTAGTGTTTTAAGACAAGAGTTAACAACAGCATTCAAGTTCCAGTCATGATGCTCTCTCAGGGTCCAGGCTAGGGGCTAGCAGACAGCAGGTGGGTAGGGTTTTTGTAAAAGGAGTCTGAGGGTGAGAGGGAGATAAACCGGCTCACACATGCGTTTCTCTCATGGTTCTCTATTCTTCAAAGATGGAGGCTTCCCCAAAAAGTTCTCTCTCAAAAGCTCTCTTTAAGACTTCTGTTTAAAAACTTTCTCCTCCAAAGTTCTTAAAAATTGTTCAAAGTTCTTTCTAAAAAGTCTTCCAGAAGTTTCTTTTAAAAGTTCTCCTGAGGTCTCTTTTATTTCACAAGACTTCTAATTTTGACAATTTTCTGACAATAAAACATGCATATCTCTTAGAGCCAGGAAGGCGGGTAGGATCTTGAGAAAAGCCGGTGTCTTACATCTCTTCTCCTGGACGTGACTTGCAAAACGTCCTGGCAAACTTAAGTCTTGGGGCATGTGACTTGCAATACATGCTGTTAATTCATTAAAGGGGGCTTCTCAGTGCTATATATCAAAGGGAAAACTACGTTTACATAGTGTGAGATCTGAGGCTGCAGCGCTTACTGTGACACCCCGGTGAGAAGGATTCCTTTCTCTGGGGTCTATTTGAGAATACAATGCACCCAGTATATATTCTATATACAACCAAATTCATAGTAACAAATATTCTGGAGCTGATACCTAGAATGTTAATCGCTACTTCTGTAATAAGTGATAAAGGATTCTAACAAATGTAACCAAGGCTGACCCTGGAACTCACTATGTAGCTCATGCTGGCCTTCACCTGGAGGTCTGCTGACTCTGTCTGCAGAGCACGAAGAATACAAGCCTGTGCTTCATTCCTTGCTCTGAATTTTCTGACTGATAAACCAGAGCATGATAATGTTATAAGAAGGCATGTCATAATGTGTTAATGAAAGTTATATGCAGGAAGTAATATTGCTGGATTGGAGTAAATGCAGCTAGCTTAGGGTGAGTGCTCCCTTAGAGTGTGTGAGGGCCTGTGTTTGAGCTCAGTACTGGATGAGTGGAGTAATGTGGACATGTTTGTTTGAGTCAGTCTTGCTGTGTAGCACTTGCAAGGCTTTGAATTTAGATCTTCTGACAGTCCCTGGACTGCCGAGATTATAGGCTGACACCATAGAAACGCTTTCATGGCATCTCTATGGTAAATCCAGCCATTTGCCCTCAAGACAAGTGAGCTGGCATTGAGAAAACTTAACAAATTACTGTTTTGGATAACTATATCATAAATCAGGTTACAATTTTATGTTCGTCAGCGACTGTAGTAGTTTATGGGCAAAAACAACCCAAGGAAGCTGTCGTTGTAGCTAATAATAGAATGCATATACAGGTTACTAATTTAGGAACTTTTCATTAGAGTCCTGACCTAAGAAAGAATATTGTGCTAACAGGAGTCAGTTTTGTGCTGTGCATGAGCAACTGGTGATCGTCTGTTCCTTTATTCATTGTTCATTCAGTGTTTTAGTACATCATGCACTGTGCTAGACTCTGGGAAACAGTGGTGAAACTTTAAGTCAGTCTAGTTCTGAGTGATGTGAAGAAGGTAAGGTTGCTGGAAAATATTCCATATGACTTAGTTAAATTTTAAAAGTAATTGCTGATTTAATTAAGAATGATACAGTTAGAAAACCAAAAGTAGCTGTTTTTCCTCATTCGTTACTTCTGTTTCTGGAAGCCAACTATATTAGTCTTTTTTTGAGATAGTGTGTCTCTGTAGTCCCATCTGTCCTGGAGCTCAGTATGTAGACTAGGCTGGCCTCAAACTCAGAGAGTCTCCTGAGTGCTAGGATTAAAGGCATGTGCCATCACTGTCTTTAGTTATTTTAAAGCCACCCTAACAAATGACCACAGCCATAGGGGCTTTAAGCAAGAAAGAATTCTCTCAGTTTTGGAGGTCAGAGTTAGGAGATGTAGTTGTGTTGTTTTTCCCAAGGCTCTAAGGGAGAATCTGTTTATAGCCCCCTGGTTTTGGGTTGTTTGATTTCTTAGCTTCTGGCTGCATCTGCCCACATACATGTCCTCATTGCTCACCACCCATGCCCATCTGCTGCACAGCTGATCTTGGGCCTCTTTGCTCTAAGGTTGCAGTTCCCACAGGGTTTCTTATTTTATGAATCTAATATTGTTTGTTAAATCCTTGAGGCTTTTTGAAACTCCTTTATCTATATAATACATTTCCTCAGAGGTCTTGTTTTATCTTCTTTCCGTCTCTTCTATGTTGGATGTAGCAAGAATTGTAGCGCATATTTTAAACCCACACATACTGAAGTATTTTTCTTTTTTGGTTTTCAAGGCAGAGTTTCTCTCTGCAGCTCTGGATGTGCTGGAACTCATTCTGTAGTTCAGGCTGGCCTCAGAAGCTCAGAGATCCACCTGCCTCTGCCTCCCAAAGTGCTGAGATGAAAGTCTGGCTATTCTTGACATTTTAAAAGGAATTTAGAATTTGTTTGATTCTCTGATTCGTTTTGGTCACGAGCAATGAAATATAAGATTTGCCCCTTGAAGAGCTCAGATTGGAGCTTGGAACTGAAAGATGCCAAAGGTGTTCCCCTTGTGCACTCACAGACAGCACCTGTATAAGATGAAGCCAGTTAGCATTCCAGCGCCAAGTGGAGAGGTCTCATGAAAGTCCCTCCACCCCCCAGTTGAGGAGCAACTGATGGCTGCAGGGGAGATTGGTGTGTGTGACCACTGGTAGGTTGCCTCTCACACCCAAGTGCATACAGGCCACACACTAGCTAGACACAGTGGGCTAATATTCCCCCCCCCCCCCCCCGAGTGAGTGTGTGTGTGTGTGTGTATTGGGGGTGGGGGACTGAAGTGAGAGGAGAAGGGTTGGGAAGTTTGGGTTGGATATGATCAAGTTACAGTGTATCTATGTTATAAAGTTATCAAATAAATAAAAGTATCCCCAAAACATTAAAAAGTTGAAGACCTTTAGTCAGGAGACAAATTATTCCAAATGAAAGATGGTCAGACTTGGGGGCTAAAATCCTGGCAAAGATAATAGAGGAGGTGACACATGTGAGGAAGATTTAAAGCAGAACTGAGAAGAAAATAAATTATCTGCTTATAGCCGGATTATTTGTACTCTGATAAATCACTTGCCTTAAAGTGGGGTGCACGAGGAAGGTGGCTGATGATGCCAGCTCCTGACCACATGGAAAGAGGGAAGGAGTGGAAGAAAAAAGTGTAGGTTTCATGGCTGCAACACCAGAGACATAGTATTCTTTTCTCCCGAAGTTCTTTTTCTCCTCCATAAATCCTGGTCTAACTAAGCACCATGGAATGAACATTCTGAATATTTCTGTATCTGTACTGTCCAGCATAGTAATCAGGCCACCATCGAAAATTGATCTGTGCTGTAAAAACACATTGGGTTTTTAAAAACAGTATTAGTGGAAACAATATCTCAGCTTTTAAACAAATATCTATTATGGGACAGTTTTTGGTTATATTGGGTTAAATCCAATATTTAAAAATAAATTTCACTTTGTTGTTTCCTCAAGGCTAGATTTGTGGTTGGCATTAAGGTTGTATATTTCTCTTGTGTAATCCTGAAGAATAAGGTCTTACATATTTTAATATTTAGTGAGATTGAGCCAAACAAGTATGAGAGAACAGTCATATTTAAACATTTTAAATATCCGCTCCAAGGTACTGTAATGGGTTGAATTTTGGTATTACAGAATTTCAACTAGAAATGTGTTGTTTAGGAGATACCTGAGTGAAGCCTATGGGAACCTAAGGTTGTTGAGTAGTGTGGCAGTATGGGCTGCTTTCCTACTCACTCCCCAGGATCTTCCACTCTTGTTTTTGAGGTTTATTTCTTTTCTTTTATGTGTCTGGATGTTTTGTTTGCATGTATGTCTTTGCACCACATGCATGCTGTAATTGCAGAGATCAGAAGGTGTTGGATTCCTTGGAACTGGAGTTACAGATGATTGTGAGCTGGTGCTGGAAATAAACCCAAGTCCTAGAAGAGCAGCCAGTGTGCTTGAGCCCCTTTTTCACTATTCCTGGAGATTTCCCCAAGTCCTAGAAGAGCAGCCAGTGTGCTTGAGCCCCTTTTTCACTATTAAGATTTTAACCCGACACAGGTTTTAATTACAGATTTAGAGACTGTCCTCGGCCCCTCCCACCTCCGATCCTCACCCTCTTGGTGCTGGAAATAGAGTAATTTTGCAGCCATTAAGGCTTCTGCTAGCAGTGGCATTTAAAATAAAACCTATCCTTAAAATTGTATTTCCCTTCATATTTTTTATTATCTTTTATTGAGCATAAGCTCAAGGGAGCCATTTCTTAATTTTGTTTTTGTTCCAACTTGTCAAAGTTTTCTTAATGACATTTTTTGAGAAAATTAGTTCTGTTACTTATGTGAAATGCCCTTTTACTATATAAATTTTTCCATATAGTTGAGTCTGTTTCTGAGTCTTAAGAATGTTATAGTGAATGAATTTCTGCATTAAATAGCCACATGGTGGCTCACAGCCATCCATTATGAGATCTGGTGCCCTCTTCTGGTGTGCAGATATACATGGAAGCAGAATGTTATATACATAATAAACAAACAAACAAATAAATCTTTAAAAAAATAAATAGCTTAAGGTTCAGCATCAAGTGAAATTACAGTAAGTGCTCTGAGCATGAAATATTTGCATACTTGTTTTTCATCTAATGAGTTTGAGGGAAGACAGTACCAGTGGATCATTTCTGACTGCTTGTGTTTTAGGTGGTCTGTAAATCGGATGCTCCAACAGGGGATGTTCTTCTTGATGAAGCTCTAAAGCATGTTAAGGAGACTCAGCCTCCAGAGACAGTCCAGAACTGGATTGAGTTACTTAGCGGTAAGCTGATGTATTAAACGGTAATCATGAAATTCTGCTTAGAGAAGTTTTTAATTATGGAAAATGGTAGCGGAGTGATAATTAAAAAAAATTATCTCCTTTTACATGAGAGAGCAGATACTAAATGAGATGGAATGTTCTTCCTTCAAGCTCTCATCTGTTGTTTGAGTCAAGGTCTCATTGCTTTGTAGTCATGGCTGAGCTACTGACTCAGATCCACCTGCCTTTGCCTCCTAAGTGCTGGGATTAAAGCTTGCACCACCATGCCTGTTGCCATCATTCTTTATCAGAATCATTGTTACAGTTTACTGCTTACAGAGTGGGCCAAGCTGTGAGGATGTCTTTATAAACTATAAGCTATTTCTTGATCTTATGTATACCAGGGGCTCATTGGGCTTTGTCCAGTCTGGCGGTCAGTGTCTTGGATCACTGGATATCCTTTGACAGTGCGTGTATCCAAACAAGTATTGTCCTAAGGGGTTGGGTTAATAGGTTAAGGTGGTTTTACTTAACTAATTAACGTTGTATGGTTGCTTACTAAATCTTACTACTGTGAGTGCTGACTGAATTTGGTTTTCAACTTGAGCTCACTAGAGCATTGAAAAATTCTATACACTTTCCCCCAATACAGTAGGATGGATGTTCATTGGATTAGGTCAGAATCCATGAGGAAAATATTTAGACAATGCCTCATGTTTTTAGATTGTCTATAAATGCCAGAGTGTTGTGTTTAGCACATTTTATTATCAGGAATATATTAGTAGTGAACTGCCATGTTGACATGAAAAAAGGGAAGAGAAAACAAAGCACATTGTTAGTATAGGAACGGTGGTTCTGGTTGGAGCTTAGTGATGGAATGCTTGGTTCCATGTGCAAGGCTTAGGGGAAAACAGTCACGTGCACCCTATTGAGCAAATGGACCAGATTTCAGCTGGCTGGCTAATAACTTTGAGTTTTTAAATACGTTTTATTTATTTTATTTTGGTTTTTCGAGACAGGATTTCTCTGTGGCTTTGGAGGCTGTCCTAGAACTGGCTCTTGCAGACCAGGTTGGTCTCGAACTCACAGAGATCCGCCTGCCTCTGCCTCCCAAGTGCTGGGATTAAAGGCGTGTGCCCCTACTGCCCAGCTAATATGTTCTTTTAGAGAGAAGCAGTGCGCGCACACATGTTAGAGAGAGAGGGAGGGAGGGAGGGAGTGGATGTGGCGGGGGAGTGAGTGTGCCCTGGCACAGGGTAGAGGTCATAGGACAACATGCAAGAGTTAGTTCTCATCATTTGAGCCGTGGGGTAGGTTGAGATGGTAATGCTTGGCTGCAAGTGGCTTTGCTCGCTGAGCCATCAAGCTGCTTTCCTGTATTTTAAGTATGTAGGTCTGTGGACAGTTTGGTGGTGGGAACATTTTTTTTTTTTTCCTTTTCAAATTTCAGTTGTTTCAAAGTGGTCCACATCAGAGTTATAGTCCTAAAAGATTTAGAATGTGCAAAACCCTGGATTTGACACCTACCCTGCACTGTAGAAGTATGAGCTACAGAAAAGTATGTGGTGTACTGTGTGAATGCCAGTGTTGCATGGTACTGACATAGATGCTATGAACTTATTACACAGAGACAGTTAAATTATGTCCAATAATTTAATACTCATAGCTCTCTAAAAGTTTGGTTAAGGGAAAAATAGGAAGTAGAGTTTGGATTAGACCTTTAAAAGGCAAAAATTCTACACACAAAAGAAAATGTACCTTTTCAGAAGATTAGAGTGGGCCAGTGAGAAGGCTCAGCAGATAAACAGGCACTTGCTGCCATGCCTGGTTCCCTGAGATAGTCAAGATGTCATCTGAAGTGTGACAGACTGTTAGAACACAGTTGTGTTGCACTTCAGTTCTGTGGAAATATAAGTGTATTCAGACAGTAATAATGAATTAGCTAGTGTTGCTAGGAGAAAGTGTTTCTTTGACATCATATAGATTACTGTATGCATAGTTTATGGCAGAGTTAAAGTGTAGATTTTTAAGTATTTATATAAATGTGGCTATCATCTTCTGTTGTATTAGCTTGTATTCTCCAAAGTTAGCTAATACATGTCTGATTTTAGGTTAGGGTTGTTTGCTTTCCTGACACTGGCATTAGGAAACGATAAAATCCAAAACCCAAGCTGTCAGGTGATGAGTAGGCACTTTGGGAGATGACAGATTGAGTTAAAAGTTGGAAGTTACAAGAACCTTTGAAAGAAGGTCATCACTGCTGTGCACTTGTGCTGTTTCTTCTGTTCTTAAATGTTTATTCTTTCTGGAAGACTAGATGTAGCTTGAGTGCCCCTTCCCCCGTAACTTTCTTAGAGATAACCCTTATTAATCATTTCTAATGCCTCATTTTGTTCTTAGGGCCCCATTCCCATTTTATTCTAGCCAGTAAATTATGAAGGTTTCTTTTCACTTAATTGTAATTCCTAAAAGGTTAGAAATAAGTCTTAATGTTTATATTCTTGGTACTATGATTCCCAAGAACATTGTAAATACTACCTTATGAAGTAGTGTGTGTGCATGTTTGAGACCATAGGCGTTTGCAGAGACTGATTTGTTGTGACTTTTTATTTGAAATGTTTTTCTTTAAATGAACAAAATGGCCTTGCTTATTAGTAATTCACAGTACCAACCTTTTATCATATTCATTAAGTCCTTTTCCAAAGTAAATTGCAACATTTTAATGATTCTTGCATGGACCAATGAGATGACTCAGAGTTAAAGGTACTTGCTGCCAGGCCTGATAACCCAATGGAAAGAAAGAACGGACTCCTGCAAGCTGTCCTCTGATCTCCGCATTTGTGGCATGAGTCACGTACATGTGTACACACATACATGCCAAATAATGTAATAAAAGCCTGTCTCAGATAATTCTTTCTAAAAGGTAGTTCCTATTTTGTGCTCATTTCCTTTAAATTGCATAGGTGTTATACTAGCTCTCTTTAAAATCCTTGTTTGCTGATTATCATTTTGTTATTTTTTGTTCATAGTTGATTTGGTTGGCTATTTCCATTCCCCATTAGTTTTGGGACACATTTTGTTCTTTGTAAATCTAATGTGTTACTGTTTTAAAATTGAACACTCAGCATTGTGAATATAAAATTCTGAACTTGCTGTCTTTGTTTAAAGAGTGTTTGATTTTTAGGGTGCCTGCCTAGAATATGGGAGGTCCTGAATTCAATCTCCGTATTGTCTCTCTTCCTCTGGGGTGGGGGGACTGTTGGCTTTTCCTTTGGTAGACAGACATTTAAGTGACTTGTGGATCATGCTTTAAAGCTTGGATAGTACAGGCCAGAGTAGTTTTCGCTTGAGACTAGTTCAGCCTTGTTCCTAAAGTGTGGTCTTTCCTGGTCCTCTTGTGTCTCAGACAGTCCATAAGTGTTCCCCTTAGGCTAGTTGGTATACAGGTTTTACTCACCTCTCTGAAAACTCTTGGCATCGTCTAACTTTTTGGTATTTGTCTTTTTGCTTAGCTTTGCAGTTTCTCGATTCAACTTGTGTGGCTTAGTTTTCCGAGACTTGAGAATATGGTGCAGGTCTCTAGACCTTCTGTACTCTGCCTTGTATCTTTCAGCTGCTTTAGCCATCTTGATCTCTGACCACAGACTTGGGTGGGGTGACTGAGTTAGGGTGACCGCTGTGCTGTGCGTTTTTGTTACTTTGGATATACTAGGGAGTGTAGTTGGGACAATTCTGAAACTCAATAGGTTTTGCCCGAAAGTCTCATTTTGGAATGCTTTATGACCAGTATCTGAAAATTATTTTCCCCATATTTCTAAAACAAGGATTGTTTTGCTGTCCAGGTAGTCTTTTAATTTTTATTTTATGTATGTGTCCCTGACTGTATGTGTGTATACCAGGTGCCTGGAAAAGGTCATATGGCATTTGCCTCCCACC